CTTCCCTCCCCCAACTGCATCCCAAAACCAGGCCAGCTTGTCCCCACCTCCCTAACCTGTCCTTCCTCCCACCTATCCCCTCCTCCTGCCTCAAGCCCCACCCTCATCTCCTACCTACTAGCCTCATCCCGCCCCCTTGACCTGTCCGTCCTCCCTGGACTGACCTATCCCCTCCCTAACTCCCCACCTACACTCACCTTTACTGGCTCCATCCCCGCCTCTTTGACCTGTCTGTCTCCTCTCCACCTATCTTCTCCTCTATCCATCTTCTATCCGCCTCCCCCTCTCTCCCTATTTATTTCAGAACCCCCTTCCCCTCCCCCATTTCTGAAGAAGGGTCTAGGCCCGAAACGTCAGCCTTCCTGCTCCTCTGATGCTGCTTGGCCTGCTGTGTTCATCCAGCTCTGCACCTTGTTATCTCAGCATTACTCCACTTTCTATGTCTTGACAAGTACATCAAATATTTCAGTCAGTTAATCAAACACAATTTACCTTTCACAATATGTGTTGGCTTTTAGGTATTGACCCATATTTTTCCTAGTAACAATTAATGTTGTCTTGCAGCATTACCTCTCTACTCCATTGATCTTAAGATAATTGACCTTCAGTTGCTATGTTTGTCTCTGTAACATTCTTTGAATATGGAATAACATTTGCAATACAGGCAGTCCCCAGGTTACATTCCAGAGTACATTCGTACGTTGATTTGTGCATAAGTCCAAACACAATACAGTTCAATATAAAATAGCTGTTCATAAGCATGGACAAATGTTGGGTCTCTAAAATTAATATTAATACTGGATCTTATTTTTAAGTACAAGAGTTTGTAAGTCAGATGTCATAAGCCAGTAATCCAGTTCCCAGTCACCACTCAAATATTGAAGGAGGTTTGAAAGATTGTGGTCACAGCTTCTGCAATTCCCACTCTTACTTCCTTCAACCAACAAGGATGCATTAAGTCCAAATCAAGTAAAGTTTCTACCCTGATACGTGTCAATTAGATTCAAATCTGCATCCCTTGGCCTATAACGTACTGGGGATAGGGAGTCATATAGAAGGAGATCAACCAGAATACAGAAAGAGTGAAAGATTTTACTAAGAATAAGGACAAACGATAGAGATACAACTGAATACATGCAAGTATTGGATCAAAGGCGTTCCTAGTTCAGATAGTTGCAAGTTTGCTAAAGGAACTATTTTTCTCCTCAGGACTGGAATTCTGGCAAAAATAAAGCGATACCAAATCCATGGAATCTGCCCCACAGCAAGTACAGAAATGATGCATGTGCAATACTGCCTCTTTGTTTCAAGCAGACACTGTAGCTTGTTGTGTAGGCACTGTAGCTGTTTGTGCATTTCAATCCAATGTTAATGATTTTTACCAAAGTAATTTTAATTGATGAATAAAGGTTTGAACAAAACTGCATTCATGATTGAGCTATTTTGTCCAGATGGGTGATTGGTTACAATTGTGCTCCACATCCTAGCCTCAGGAAAGTAAAACATCAACAAGAACTCTATTGGTATACTTCCTTAATGTAATAAAATATCCCAAGGAGCTTGACATGAGCATTTTGAAATAAAAAAAAAAGACCCTGGGCCACATAACAAGGTAATAGCTCAGGGAGCAAAAACAGGTTAAGCTGGTATGTTTTAAACAATGTCTTAAACTAGGACAGTAAGGTAGATGGAAAGGTGCTGGGATATGTTTCTCAGACAGAATTTTCACTCTTGCTGAATTGGCAGTGCATATCTGGGGGTTTGGTGATGACAAGAACTTGACTCAAACATGATTCTCAGGTTGGCTGAATAGTTTACCAATCTTCAATTTAAAGGTTGATCCATGAATATTATTACCTGGGCAAGTGAGCAGGATATATTAATAATTCGGGCATATTTGAAAGGATTAGGACATTCAGAATCACATTTTTTTCCAAGGAAAAATTGATTTTTTTTTTAATCTCAAAACCTGTTAACCAATATTTTGCCTTTAGTCCCCTAGAAATTCTTATTCTTGTGGGACTATAGTTCAATCAATACTGAGAGGCCAGGTAAATGACTTTTCTCATATGTATGGACTGACATCCTGTTTAGCCAAGGGATGCATCACAGGCAAGCCTAACCTTGTTCTCTCCCACTGTGACAGGAAATTGGATGAGCATAAGAGTTACATACTCTGGTAATAATCAGGTCAATGATCAGATTGAGATGTTTCAAATGATTTGGTAATTTCTAGAGTAAATAAAAGATGGGTAGCCATCCACTATATTAAACACCACTCTCTTCACCACTGACACCACGTGGCTACAGTATATAGTATCTGCAGTGTCTACAACAGTTCAGCACCTCCAAATCCTACAAACTCCACTACCAAGGAGAACATCAACATACAGCTTATCATCTTTAATTTCACCTTGAAGTGAACTACCACCCCGCCTTGGACATAATTCACCATTCTGGCATCATTGCTGGGTCCAAATTTAATAATTCCCCATCTAACACAACAAAGAAACTTCATCACAGAGTCTTTATTAGCTCAGAGGATACTACCACCTTCTCAACCAGAGGTGAGCAATTGCTGACTCTGCAAGTGGTGCTCATATCCTGAGAATAAATGTTTAAAAGCTGACTCTTCCCTCTTAGTAGAGAAATCAAGAATGGCCTTATGGAAAGTGGCCTTATTTTAGAAGTGTTGATTACTGGGAACCAAATGGCTCTGTTAGTAGTGCTCTTGCCTCTGAGCCAGAAGGCCCTGGGATCCAACCTACTCCAGACATTGTCAACTGTGGATTATTAACATGGCTCATGGCAAATTGTGGAAAGTGAAAAGGCCTGGAAAGTGCTCCTGACACTCCACACCATTTACCAAGGGAGAAGAGTTTGGAGATAGATTAGAAAACTAATCCAGGGAAAATGTCCTTGCCCAAATGTTTCTTCAAATTTATAAAGCACCGTGGTTACAGAAGCATCTTGATGAACTAAGATTGGGATTGATGAGGGGTTCAATAGATTAGGCAGTTGGTTCGTTATTGCCTGTTTTTCCCAACTGCACAAAGTCAAAATCAAAGTTACCTCCAGTGATTGATATGTTTCATATTAAAATGAAAACAATGGAAAATCTGTGGTGAAGTTCATCATCTGATACTTAGCCAAATGGTTCTGCATTTCATACTTAGTTAACTTAGCTCAGCCAGATCAGATTTAAGTACTAATTAGTCTCATCATCACTGATCTAAAAAAGGAAATAAATCAGACAGATTTCTCATTTCTGATCATGGCTTGTACTAGTTTCTCTTGACTATTGATTAGTTGCAATTAAACTCCATGGCTGAATAATCCATTAGATGCCATTTTCTTGTTAAGCCCCAGATCATTGCGGTGAAAAATGGTTTCCAATGGCTGAGTAAGTACATACAGGAAAGGGCAAATAGAATTTGGAAATTGTAAAAACAAAAATTGCAAATAAAACAGGTCTGGCAGCATCTGTGAAGGAAAAAACAGAGTTAACGTTTCGGGTCCGGTGACCCTTCCTCAGAACTTCCTCAGACCTGCTGAGCTTTTCCAACAACTTTGTTTTGTTCCTGATTTACAGCATCTGCAGTTCTTTCGGTTTTTATTTAAGCGCAAATAAAACTTTTCTTCACAAAGTGCATGTGTAGAATTCACCATCTCAATAGTATTTATTTTTCTTACTTCAGGTGCACATCTATGAAGTCTAGTCCTGTCAGGAATGAAGAAGCATCCGTATCAAACCTCTTTGAATTTGCTTGCAAAATTAGCAACAATAGCCCCAGAAATGAAGGAAATGAGGCAAATGAAAAATTTCCAAACCTGGATGGATTTATTGCAAGCTCTGGCCACAGTGATTCCAGTAGTTCCAAATCGTTGAGAACCGTCACTAATTGTTGTGATTCTAGTGACCCCATGTTAGCTAGTAAACTGCAGGAAACCACAGACATCTATCACAGTAGTCCCAGAGAGGCTGGGTCAGATCAACCGAATTTGACCTCTGGAGAGACAAATACATCTGATAGTGTTCTATTTGTTGACTTGGGGAATGCAAGAAAAGAAAATGACTTAAAATTGGACTTGGAAAGCTATGAGACTTCAAGTTCCAGCTGTACTGATTTCTCCAGCGAGCCTAATATCAAAGACACTACTGAAAGCTCTGGAATTGGTTCAAGACATATTTCATGTCTCAAAGGCAATACATCTGCTGATAATTCACAGTTGGATGAAATTAGTAAAATCCGTGAACTCGAAGATACTACTGAATGCAATAAATTTAAAAGGCGTTCATTGTAAGAAAGTTTTGATTAATCATCAATCCTTTCAGATACTTAGTTTGAGTTTGTATCTCTAGCTGTCTTATTACAGATGTAGGGTGGGATCGACTGCACACAGTACACAGATCCCCAGATCAACCCTGGAGATTTCACAGGAGCTTTTACACCATTGTTTAGCTAGTAAGCAAAACAAGAAAAGGCTTATGACTGAATTCTCTCCCTCTCTTGAGTGTTCCCTGATCTCCTACAATCAGGGAAAGAACAAACCTCTAAATGGCTTAATGGGATGTGCTCATCCAATGGTTGCAGTTTGAGGAAGATGACTGTTAAATTGAAGCACAAAATTGCTCAATATCAGGGGGAGTGGAAGTCATGGATGGATAGATGGGAATTGCATTCTAAAAGAATGACTGGTGCATTTGCAAAGATAATGGGTTGTGTAACGTGATGGAGCAGGATTGACAAGGCAAAGTGAGGGGAGGAATTGTAGACAGCTTTGTACATGTCTGGGTGTTGGAAATTGTGAAACTGTATTCTGCTTTCCAAACCTTTTTAGATTATTAAAGCAGCTTCCTGGACTAAATCTAGGAATATGGCCCGGTGTTCTTGCTGCTGACCTTTTTGGACACATCAAACCATACCTTCTTTGTGGCAGTGACAAATCTTTCCTCTCAATTTAAGGTGATTGGCAAAGAAACCCAACAATTAAATCTGTTATCTATATGTGGATGCACATATGCTTGGAGCCACAGATACCTAAAATAGACAAAATATTTGTAAATAATTTTAAAGCAGTTTATTAAGAAGCAGTAGTTTAAATATTGTGCACTCACTAAATAGACATGAAAAATATAGCTATACAACCCATGATAGTTGAGAGTAGACTACTTATAACAAATGATGAATAAACAGTTGTCACAGACTGTGCTAGCTCAGAAGTCACATGATACAGGTTATAGTCCACCTGATGAAGGAGCAATGCCCCGAAAGCTTGTGATTTCAAACAAAGCTGTTGGATTATAACCTGGTGTCATGTGACTTCTGACCTCGTCCACTGCAGTTCAACACTGGCACCTCCACATCACAGTTGCTCGTAATAACAGCATCCTACTCTCTAGTCAAAGTGTTAGGGAACCCTTCCCTTGATCTTCTTCCATCTTTCCTGGTCCATCTTCCATCCACAGAAGGAGGACTTCCCCCGATAAGTACAGTCTCTGTCTCTGATCACTTTTTAATGTGCATGCTTTGTTTCTAGTATTGGGTAGGTTACCTTATGTTAACCATTTGAATTAGAATATTTCTAACCAAGGTGTCAGGAAAGTCACCTGACCCCTGTCCTTCACTCATCTCAGCGTCAGCTTTTTAGTTGACTTTATACTGATCGTTACTAACACTTTCGAAATACATGCATTGCTAGGGGGTACACAGGACACCAGAAGACTCCCTAACATCAGTTCAGGAATGTTTTGATTGCAACACTGCAATGCAATCTTTCTGACCTTTATCAGTACCTTATTTTTGCCCTTGACTGCTTAAAATTGTATATGTTCTCCTAGAGAGATAAAATCCATGTTGTGCCAGTTAATCCCATAACAGTTCTACTCTATCATAAACTTTATTATCTATTAAGGGTTCTTATTTCTTAAAGTGTTGCCTAAGCTGTACATCCTGGTTTTATTTCTATTCATTATACATTTTGTATTTTATTCTTTAGTTTATTTATTCACACCAGCAGTTTACTAAACTTGAATTTATAGTTACAGGAAATCCTTTGAAGAAGTACAGAGGATTGGACAGGGAGCCTTCGGTTCCATTTATGAAGTGAGACACAAAGTTGACAATCACAGATACGCTATCAAATGTGTGCAAATAACTCAGTAAGTATATTTATTCCGATTAGGAAAAATGGAATGAGTCCTCATCTTGTGAGGTTTTGTTTTCACTGGATGTGGTGTGTCCATTCATTGCTCAGCCAATATACAGCTGTAAGAGTCATAGAATACAGCAAGGAAACAGACCCTTTGGTCCAACTTGTCAATGCCGATCAGAAATCCTAAGTTAATCTAGTCTCATTTGCCAGCATTTTGCCCATATCCATCTAAACCCTCCCTATTCATCTACCCATTCAGATGCCTTTTAAATGTTGTAATTTTACCAGCCTCCACCACTTCCTCTGGTAGCTCATTCCATTCACGCATCAGCCTCTGCATGAAAAAGTTGCCCCTCAGGTCCCTTTTAAATCTTTCCCCTCTCGCCTTGAACATATGCCCTCTAATTTTGGACTCTCCTACCCTGGGGAAATACCAGACTATTCACCGCACCCTTGCCTCTCATGACTTTATAAACTTCTAAAAGGTCACCCCTCAGCCTCCGATACTCCAGGGAAAATAGCCCCAAGCCTATTAAGCCTCTCCCTATGGCTCAACCCTGACAATATCCTTGCAAATCTTTTCTGAACTCTTTCAAGTTTCACGACATTTTTCCTATAGCAGGGAGACCAGAATGAGGAATGAGGAGAGATTTTTAGTATTATAAACGATGTAGGAAGAGTTGGACACTTGTCAGTAAGCGTTACTACTAAAACCAGGACTCATGTCATCTGACTCACTATTATCAAAATTACAAATCCAACCACCCCTAAAAAAAATTACAAGTGCAGCCACTTCAAATAGAGAGATCTATTTGAAACTAGCCTACTGTCTGTCCTCACCAAATCATCTGCAAGAATCAAAATCTAAGAATTTCTTAAGTAACAGAACTGTCAAGCATCTTTGTTACATGGACTTCAGTGATTCAAGACAAATATTCATGAATCCCGTCTATCAGGTAACTGCATGGGGAGGAGCAATAAATGTTCAACTTGCCAGCAATTCCCACATTCCAAGTACGTTTCAAACAAAAATTGTTAAGTCTGAAGAATGCCTTCATATTTCCACTTTTATCCAGCATCACTAGAGGTCATTGTTGTGCCTCAGGTTCTAGCAGTTTTGCTTCTGAACTATGCACCCATTAGCAGTGAGAAATTAATGATAATTGGGAAAAGCTGGATTTAACCCAATGTCACCAGGAGATTTGAAGGCAGGTTGGGGATTTTGAGGTGGGGCATCTAAAATTAACTGGGCGGCCTCCTGGTGCCTACCTGCCTTCTCTTGCCCGTGTTATATTTCTACCAGTGACAGAGATGACTTTGGATGGCATATCCACCATTAGAACAATTCATGCCCTCAAATGGGAAAAGGCCTCATCCTGTCACCACCAGAATCTCACTGGCATTGGGAGAGGCCGAGCTGGTTACACTGCACAGGCTGGTGGCAGGAGCACATCCCTCCTTAAAGGGCCCCCAGCCGGGTACAATCTCCCGAGGTTCCCCTCCCACCATGGCCCCTCTCAAACGTTGGGCCCACCCACTCACCAACCCCCTCACCAACTCCCAAACACCTAGGCAAAGTCACGTTCCAGCGCTGAATGTCTCCTCAAGCCTCGCTAGTCTCTGGATTTGAGCCTTCTGAGATGGGATTTCCTCTCTGTGAGATCCTGCCTCCATTCTACTAGCAACCTATTGGATGTTAAATGGTTGTGAGGCTGTGCTGAGTGGGCTTCCCTCTGGATTTTTTTTTGGCAGAGGCTCATGAATGTGACCCCCACGGTGCTCTGAGAAATCTAACCTCAAGATTTGAATGCAAAAAAAATCAAAATTAATATTCTGTTGCAATACAGGGGTGGTGCTGCACTGTCACAGATGCTATTTTTCAAATGACAAGTTAAACTAAGTCCCCATCTGGCCGCTCAGGTGGATATGAAAGATCCCATGGCACTTGTTTGAAGAAGAGCAGGAAGTGTTTACTTCTGCTGTAATGGGGTATTTACTGAGAACAAATGGGCTACTATAGTTCTCACATTACAGCACATCTAAAGTACTTCATTCGTCATTGAATAGTGAGGGTGTGATTTATGCCAGGTATAGAATTGTTAAGCCAACTTATCTTTACCTCATTCTTTCGTGTTATATTTTAGGGATGATGATGCAAGAAAAACAGTTAAAGAAGCCCAACACTCGCAAAATTCTGTCACCAAAACATCATCCGTTACTACAGTTCCTGGATCGACAAATCTTCATTACAGTAGGTTGAATTCAACAAACATCTAATTATTAGTTTTATTCAAGTGTAAAAGTGATCATAAGAAAAAGTTTGATTGATTAATACGCCTTTCCATCTGTGGAACTACGTTAATTATCCTTGTGCAGAACCTGCATCAAAAATATCAATTCAAGTTAAGTCAGAGATAGTAGGAACTGCAGATGCTGGAGAATCCAAGACAACAAGGTGCAGGGCTGGATGAACACTTCTCGCCAAGCAGCATCATCGGAGCAGAAAGGCTGACGTTTTGGGCCTAGACCCTTCATCAGAAAAGGAGGAGGGGAAAGGGGTTCTGAAATAAATAGGGAGAGAGTGGGAGGCGGATAGAAGATGGATAGAGGAGAGGATAGGTGGAGAGGAAACAAACAGGTCGAAGAGGCGGGGTTGGAGCCAGTAAAGGTGAGTGTAGGTAGGGAGTTAGGGAGGGGATAGGTCAGTCCAGGGAGGACAGACAGGTCAAGGGGGCGGGATGAGGTTAGTAGGTAGGAGATGGGGGTGCGGCTTGAGGTGGGAGGAGGGGATAGGTGGGAGGAAAAACAGGTTAGGGAGGCGGGGACGAGCTGGACTGGTTTTGGGATGCGGTAGGGGGAGGGGAGATTTTGAAGCTTAATTCAAGTTAAGTGACTGCTTTGCTGATAATCGATACTCTGTCAGTCAGAGTAACAAAGAACTTAAGTGGTCATCTGGGTACTATCAGTCAGAGTAACAAAGAACTTAAATGGTCATCTGGGTAGGGTGGGGGAGGCAAAAGACTATCAATTCATTCAAAAGACAATACTGTCATAATGCTGCTTTCCCACACGTTTGCCAGTTTCCTGGTGCCCCCAAAGCTGTAAACGATATGTATCGATCATTGACACTCTTGTATTCCTCATTTATATGCCTCTGTGCTTCAATTACATCACTGGATTTCATATGCATGTTGATGTTACCTCGGTCCAGCTCACCACCAACCCTCTTGACTCCTCCATTGTTGTTTCTGACATTATTTTCTCACCAAGGCCACATATTTCTGCTTCTGTAACATTGCCAACTTTGCCCTGTCTCAATGGTCAGCTGAACTGAAACACTTATTCATTCTTTCATTTCTCTAGACACCAACAACATATACTGGATCTCAGTCAAGCAATTTAAAATTATCATCTTTTCTGATTCCTGAATTACACCAGCCCTATCTACCTCTGACATTTTTTTCAGTTCCAAAACATCTCCAGTGCATCCCTGATTTTATTCACTCTATCACTAGTAGTTACATTTTCAGTTGCTTAGGCTATAAGCCCTGGAATATCCTCCGACTCTTCTGTACCTTGCTTTCCTTCTTCAAGGCACACCATAAAACCCAATGCGTTTACCATGCTTTTGGTAATCTGACCTATCTCCTGATATGGTTTCACATTATATTATTGTTAAATCCTTCTTAACTCACATGTGCACACCAAGAAAACAAAAGGTTGTATGGCACTGGATGGTTGGTAACTCACCTGGCTTCAGACGGAACTCAGTGCTCCTCCTGTATTTGGTGTTAATGTGGTTTAAAGAAGTAGATGGATGACTTATTTGTTCTTTTAAAGATAGCTACTGCTAGATTGAGGCTTCAGCCTCATGTACCACCCCACC